ATTTCACTATAGGTGAAGGATCGTGTGAGAAAAAAAGTTATGGTGAGAAGTGTAAGAATAGATCTGAACCCTTGATCACTTTTAATCTCATTCCCACCCATGAAGAAGATTTAGAAGGGAATTGATATGATATATCTCGGAGCACCTCATTAGTGTTGACATTCATTTAGAATTGATTTGAAGGTGAAAGTCTCTTTTTACGTTCTCACTTTTACTTATTTCTCACCGGAACCCAACCTTATCTATATATAGGCGAAGGATTATATAAGGAAAAAAAAAAGTTAAGGTGAGACGTGTAATAATGGAGCTGAATCCTTGATCACCTTTAATCTCGAACTCACCCATAATCATGGTTGATACAGGGATTTATCTGGTGTATTTCGATGCATCTCATCTTAATGTTGAAAAAAAAAATGTAAGGGTGAGTGGTTTAGACCAATAGGTATATTAGCAATTAGCAAAGGATAGATTTATGGTATAACTAGATGCAACTCCAAAGATGAGGGTGAGTGGTTTACACCAATATAGATATAGGTATATTGAATGTTAGTATATATGGGGTATAGGAATAAAAGAAAGGTCAAATGACACCACCAACACTTGATTGTGCAAATGCTTATTGGGGTGGGGTGGGGTGGGTGAGTGGGTATGACAACCAAGAAATGCTAAAAAGATTTGGTGAAAGTAGGAGAAAACTAGCAAAAAGCAAATACTTGTGATTAAGCTCCAAATTAAGATATCGAAACCACAAGGTGGTGTTTGATTGGTTTGAGCTTGGTTTTAAAGGTCAAAAGTATCAGGAGGTCTCAGGTTCAAATCCAAGGAGGAATAAAAATCCCTTTTGTGGCCACGGAGGTTCAAATGCGGTGACTCCGGGCTATTTGCAAAGCAGGTGGTCGCCTTGGAATTAATCGCTCACATAGCAGGTTGGATATCCAGGTTAATAAAAAAAGATATCGATTTTTCATTTGTTGTTTTTTTAATACGATTATAAAACTTTAAAGGTAAATTTTTTTTAAAATATAAACAGAAACAAAGATGCAATTTTTTATGCTTAAAAGAGAGAAAAAAAAGAGTATGGATTGTAAATAAATAATATTAAAAAATATAATTATGAAGTATTAAAGTTAATTGTATATGGAGAAAAAGAATAAGTTGTTAAAGAAATGAAATGAGATGGAGATGGATGATGACTACCACTTTGGGTTTGGGCCATTGGTGACCCCCTCCCAAACATCCAAACCTACATCATGAGAAAGAAAGAAGCAACCATACTTTTGATGCTTTACCATTACTTGATAAGCCTCCCTCACCTTTTGTTTTAATGGAATTTTTCTATATATAATACACACACACACATATATATATATATATATATATATATAGTTGGGTTCTGCTGAGAAGAAGAATTAATGTGAGAAACGTAAGGAAGGAGATCCACTCTTAGATGCAGTTAGGATGAGATGCACCGGATCAAGCATAAGAGCTGATAAAGGGTCCAGATCTATTCTTAAATTTCTTATCTTAACTTTCATTCTCACCGAAACTCAACCCCCCCCCCCTCTCTCTCTCTCTCTCTATATATATATATATATATATATATATGTATTCGTTTGAAAACTCATAAAATTATGATTACTTTGAGAGCTGATGTATCATATACTATTTCACATGATTTATTTCCCTAATAATAGTTCTCACAATTATCATAATATATGTAGTTCTCTCTCTCTCACACACATATATATATATATATATATATATATATAAGTTAATTTAAGTGATATAATATTATTAAATGGGTAATACAAAAAAGCTTATGAGGTGCTTGGTTGAGAGTATTGAAGGTAATGAATGAGAATTATATATGAAAATTTTGGTTTGGTTTGGTTTGGTTTGTTATAATATAATAGGCTAATTACTCCAAATCCATTAATTTCCATATTTGGAGACGAAAATTTTATTTTGGCTTAATCCAATAATCTATCTCCCGATGTTGAACGAATCATATTTTATATTTTTTGCGCTGGATGAAACATATTTATATTAAAAAATAATATTAACAGATGAATCCAATCAGTCACATTTAAACACCTCATACAATTAGATCTCAATTTGTTAGAGATATAATTATTAAATGGTTAATACATTTTTTGTAATAAAATACAGAAAATTTATAGACCAGAATCAAAATTACAAAATAATATCAAAGAACCAAAAACAAAAAAGTGGTAGAAACTTACAAAAGATGGACTCTAATTCTTTTAGATAGTTTAAAATAAATAAATAAATAAATGTAATGGAAGAGTAATATAAAAACTAAAAAGAAAAAGGTTTTTCTATATTTTTAAGAATAATAATGATTACTAGGGTCCACTACACAGCCATGGACTACCAAACTATTCAAAGAGGCCAAAACTCCACTTTCATCCTTTTCCTTTTACAGTAATAAAAAACTGCCTCCTCACTCTACTCTTGATACAATCTGAATCAAGTACCTTCGTCTGTAACAGTAAGTTTTAGTGAAAAAAAATAGTTTTTTAGGTTTGAACGGGCGCGCTTGCCCGTGACGGTTCCATAATTTTTGTCTAGTAGGGTCACCTTTAAAGTAGATCAAAGGTCCATAAAGTCGCCGATGTGTTTTTAACCTAATTACAACGGTTTCGAGGGATTTTTAAAGTTTTTTGGTTGATTTTGAGGGATTTTTTTAGCGTTCTTGTCGATTTCAAATAACTTTTTTGGTTGATTTCAATAGATTTTTTTGGTTAGAGTAACGGTTTCGATTGGGGTTGGGGACCCATGGGAAAATGTAATGGAAAGAAGTGAAAGATAAATCATGTAAAACCTAAATTTTAACCTAGTAATTTTTTACTAGGGTCCCTTCCCCCCACCTTTTGCCTACTGTGTCCGCCCCTGGGGGTTGCCCTAGTCTGGTTGTGGTGACACCCGTAAATGTATGCGTACATCATACCCCTAAAATCTCATTCCGCGCGTGTGTGTGTGTGTATGAGGTAGGTTAGGTTTAGAGGTTGTTTAGCAGTTGCAAAATGATTAAATGATCAGAATAATAAGAGGCTCTCATGATATAGTTTAAAATGAAATATAATTGTTTGGTAACTGTTTACAATTAAATTAGGGCGTTGAATGGTTAAGAGAGACCTAAGATACAAAATCATTCAGATGATTTTGGAACCATTAAGATGTAGACTCTTTTTTTGCCAAACAATATTCACCTCTTAAAAATTTAAAGTCTGCCTCTTAATGAAACTATTAAAAGGTAAACAAGCAACCGTTTAGTTTCCAATTTTTTGACAAGAAGTTGAAGCAAATATGGAAATCAAGTCTTTTTCAAGAATTTAAAGGAAAAACTATATAAAAACCTTCTTTTCCAACACTAGGCAAAAACAAAAGAATGGGGTCATTTAAATTTTGTGGAGATAATAATAATACATGCATAAAACAACAAACAAATATTGTGCATACTGAAGTGGAATTACTCTATCTGGTTCCACTTGGTTACATGTATGCGTACTAATAATACACGCATAAAACAACAAACAGATATTGTTAACTTGTATCATGGTTTCAGGAATACCTCCATCCAGAAAATCACACCAATATATATATATATATATATATATATATATATACATACATAGAGAGAGAGAGGGATGGACGGATCCAGAAATGTTTTCAAATGTTAGTACCATTTGACTATAAAAAACAAGTATAGCTGACGGCTTGTTGGTAAGGTGAGAGCTTCAAGCCCAATTTGAATTTTTTTTTTCAAATGGTTGGTTCATTGTTTTTCATATGTAAGGTCATGTATTCAAGTCTTTTATTGCAATTTTTTTCAAAAACATAATAAATCTGAAACTAAAAACTAAGAAAATGACAATAAAGGGATTTAAACTCAGGGTCTAGGGTAGAAGAAAAGTCTTGCAAACCAACTCCACCAAATGAAACTTTTGTACTCATTGTAGTTTTAAAATATATATGGTGACACACAACAAATTTACACTACAACAAAGGAAAGAGACGTTGGCTAGTGCCACCTATGGCACCCCTCTGGATCCGTAGAGAGAGAGAGAGAGAGAGAGAGAGAGAGAGAGAGAGAGAGAGAGAGAGAGAGAAGCTTCAAATACAAACCGTGCAATTGTTACAAATTATACAAACCAAATCTGGTCCCTTTTGATTTTGTTTATTTTGAAATCAAAAGATCGTTATTAAATAAGTTAAATATGAGATTGAAAGTAAATTTTAGAAGCCTATTTTATCTATATAGTTGATCATCTACACAGACGATTGAGATTGGTTTGTATTGTAAACTACATGGTTTATATTTTAATTTTCCTATATATATATCTATATTATCTTATCTATATCTATACTATCTTATAAAGCAAATTTAACAAATGTCTTAAAGTCTTAAAATACTAAATGACCAAGATACCCTTTATATCACTTTTCATCTTTTCACCCCCTCTTCTCCTCACATAAACTCACCCCCTCACATACACTCACCCTCTCACAACCGATTTTTTTAAAATTATAATTTTAGATTTACACTTTATATTCTTATAATTAGTTAATTAATTTACTTTACGTTCTTTACTTTTAAATGTTTCATTTTAAACHTTYATCAAATTAATATACATAATCGTATATCAATTAAAACATGTTTAAAAAATACATTTTTATTTTAACAAGTTACACCATTATAATCGTCTCGTTAATACCTTCGAAATGAGTCCAATATTGAATAATTTTTGACTTAATTATATTATTATATATTATATATACTGTGAAAAAATATTTTTAATATTTACAATTTATACTTTTATAGTTATTTATATATATATATACTATATATTTTGGGATTAATTAAGCTGTCCAAATTGCATGTATAATATGTTCTGAATTAATATGTTCTTGGGTTTTTTTGAAATATATATATACATGTATTAATTCAACCTTAATCTAACTATTTGTGAAAATTTGACTCAAATCATATCATTTAGAAACATAGTGTTACATTTTACAGATCACTTTAGGGAGCTAAAACAAATCTTTGCAGATCTGAATTAAGCTGCTATCAATTAATATACATAACGATTGAGATTATAAATAATACTAATCTACAGATGAAAAAGAAAGGGAAGAATGAAAGCATTTCTTTACTTATCTGGTATGCTGCGGATTCTTGATCGAATTGAAGTTGGTGCAGTTGAACAAGGCCTTGGCATTCATCTCTCTTTCAAACCTCCAGATATAGTTTAGACCAACTAAGAGCTCAGTAATGGCAGCCTCAGTTTTCTCCTGGTTCGCAAAAAACAGCGTTTGCAGAAGAAGAACGTTTGTTTTTGGCACGAGATTCTGATGTTCAAAGCTCCTTTCATTCTGCCATTTGATCATGTTATGTGCTAATGGTGACAGCCACCCCAATATCTTCCCTAAAGCTTCTCTCCATTCTCCTGCAAGTACTGGATCACTCGCTGTGAACCCAATACCTTTCAGTCGTCCCCTAAGTGAAGATCGTATGCTATTAGGTAACATTGAATAAAGATCATCCCTTGCATCAAGACCGACCAATTGGGGTGATCTTATCATCTTCTCCATCACAATGATCAAGTTAGCATAATGCAAAGCTAAAGCAGCAGTTCCTAAAGTGCCAGATGATGGCTTTAGCATCTTTGAGTTTGTCTCGAAAAACCCATGTGAGATATTGTTGTTATGTTGATGGGTCGAGCTCTTTATCAATGGCCCGGGTACAATATCCCAAGAATTTGAGGTTTGATCAGATGGGTATACAGTAGCTGAGGCTGAAAGGCTGTGAGGGAGGGAGGTGGGATAGCCATGGGTGATACTGAAAACAAGCTTGATTCTTGAAAGAATTGTGAAGATTGATGTGGCCAGCAATGAAGTTACTGAATCAAAACTTGTGTTCCATAAAGATTTCTCTTTTACATACTTGACTTCTTGCTGTTGCCAAAGGAGCTTTTGTTGGAGATGAAGAATCTTCTGTGAAGACACATCTTGATGCTGATGATCCTTTTTACTGTTACTACACAGTAATGATTTCTTCAGATTATTCTGTATCACAGTTAGCTCATCCATCTCCCTGTAAAGTGTAGCAGTGGCTGCAACGTATCTCTCCATCTTCTTGGTTTTACCCTCCATTTCTTTCAAGCTTAGAATCCAGCCATAAGGGTCATGACCCATGTTTGCAAACCCATCGAAAGCTGTCCCAAAGCACCTGAGGCTCGAGTCCTGGCACCTTTTGCTTAGTCTGGACACAGACTTGGCGAGGACTCTGAGATTCTCGACCATTTCTGCACAGGCTAAGCCAAGAAGGAAAGCATCCTCGTTTGAGACAATTTTCCGAACACCTTCCAGGCATATGGATTCATTGTGAAGACGAGCCATAGTTTGGTCGGAGAGAAAGCGCCACATGTGGGTGAGCTTGGGCATGATTCCGGCAATCTCAAAGGCCAAAACTCCGATCCTGGATCTCTTGATTACAGAACAAGTTTTGGTTGGTGGGGTAACACGAGCTGAATCAAAGCTGTGGGATATGGTTTTCTTGACTTTGATTAGCCATGTTTCAAGAGCCATAATTATCAAGATCAAAGAAATTGCGCAGATGCAGAGAATTGAATTGTAGATGAAAAGCAAAAGAATTGAAATTGGGATTGAAGCTCGTGGGATGTCTGAGAAAAACGAAAAGCCACATGCAGTGAAGATCGTCAACTTAATTATTTTACAAATGGGAAGAACAATATCCCTCTTTTAGTAACGAGGATGAAGCATGTTGATCTGCCCTTACTATTTTTTTTTAAATTTATTTTGCCAAATACTCCACCCCTATATATATATATATATATATATATATATATATAGGGGAGCGATCAAATGCAAACCACTCAATTTATACAAACCGTGCAAACCGCATTCAACCAATCATAATTTTTCATTTTGTTCATTTTTTTGTAATTATGAGAGGTTGATTAATCATTTTTATTGTGGAGGATGTTAAT